TGTTCCTGCTAAAATTCAGGTTTCCCAGAGTGGCTCCACGCTAAAAAAGATTCAATTTCAGCACAATTCCACATCAGAGGGGAGAGATGAAAAGTGCAAACCTTTTAAAATCTATTTTGCCTCTGTGTTACATCGCTCAAATTACAGACCTGGCCCTCCTTAAGGAGCTGAGGCTGAATGTAGAAAATAGTAGAGGAAAATTGTTCAACTACCCCTTAGGGGGACAGGCATTCTGTTAAACACAACAAATGAGCGAGTGCCAGGGAGTTACATCCGGAGGCACAGCAATCATTTAGTTACAGGCAATTAACAATAGTCCTCCAGTAGCACAGGAACAGTTCTACTCCAAGGAAAAATACATTGATTACTGCTGCAGTAGTAGATTGGTTTCTGAATAAATCTCTTCAGTTTAAACCAGGATTTCTTACAAGCATTTTGACCAATGGCTACATTATTTTTCCCCATCAGGAGGCTTTGGCCAAGCAACTCAGTGAAAGAGATAGCTAATTAAAACAAAGTACATGTACTCTCCAAATATCTAGTACGATATGACTGGTAATAAGTGCACTCATTTTATACAGATTCTATCCTTATTATTAGGCATATTTGCAGGATATATCTTTAGTCTTCAACTGACTTTGGTATTTGATAAACTTCTTTCACTGTGTCATGCAGGTAATTCAGATTGTAGATGGGGTTGTAACAACAAAATAAATAAAAGGGTGCCTTCAAAGATAATATATTTTTACTTATGTGACATGCTTCAGGAACTTTACATTTAATGATCTGTGATCATTTAAAATTAATCTTATTCTACTCATTAGTCCACATACAACTGAGCTACTGAGAAAAATAATTATACTTCAAACCTTCTTTTTTTTTGTTGATTCCTAATTCTTTGAGGACATGTGATTTATAGCTGTGTATTCAATTTCTGAGCCTTTTTCAAAATCCAATTACAGTCTATCTAGGGTTTCAGTTTTGCAATCACTTACGCAGATTGCCTAACTTCATGGTCTGTAAGCAATCCCTCTGAAGTCAACAGGTCTATTCACAGAGCTTCAGGTTAGCACATTTATTAATCTTTGCAGTTTTGTGGCCTAAACTAATTTCCATTCTCTGCCTGTCTTGGATGATTTAATTCACAAAGCTACAAGGTTTGGTTAGAGATAGATCTCAGTTTGTCTAGGAACACATACATAGACTTCAATTATTAAATAAAACATAAGGGTAATTAGTATCATTTGGAAGGGAGGCAGTTGAAGACAACACTAAAGGTCTCATGGTGACACCTGAGAGAAGGTAAAGGCAGCAGATACTGACAACCAACGCAAGACTGATGTGTCATAACATGAAGCTATGGTTATAAGCAGGTGTGTTTCTTCTAAGGGAAGAAGCAGGCTGGCTAACACAGGAATACTTGTCTGAGACATTTATACTTGTCTGTCATTTCAGACATCAGCAGTAAGCAGTAGGCAGAATTTAGGCTAGCAAGAAAAAAACTCATACCTGCAGTTTAAAAAGGAGAATTATGTTTGTTTGGGTTTTGTTGTTGTTGTTGTTTGCAG